TGTGGATGTTCAGGCAATGAAATATTACTCAGAGCTATAAAGAAATGAGCTATCAAGTCATATAAAGACATGGAGGAAAGTTAAATGCATATTACTAAGTGAAAGAAGCCAATCTGAAAACTATATGACATTGTGAAATATGCAAAAGTAGGGAAACAATAAAAAAAAAGATCAGTGGTTTCAGGGGTTGAGGAAAGGGAACAATGAGTAGATGGAGAACAGAGAATTTTTAGGGCAGTGAAATTATTCTGCATGATCCTATAATAGATACATGCCATTATAGATTTGTCCAAACCCCCTGAATGTACAACACCAAGAGTGAATGTTAATGTACACTCTGAACTTTGAGTGATAATAATGTGTCAACGTGGGCGTCCTTGGTGGCTCAGTGGGTAAAGAATCCACCTGCAATGCAGGAGACCTGAGTTCAATCCCTGGGTTGGGAAGATCCCCTGGAGGAGGGCATGGCGACCCACTCCAGTATTCTTGCCTGGAGAGTCCCCATGGACAGACGAGCCTGGCGGCCTGCAGTCCATAGGGCTGCAAACAGTCGGTCATGACTGAGTGACCAAGCACAGCACAAGATGTCAATGCAGGTTCACGTGTTTTAACAAATGTATCTCTGGGGGAGGTACTGATAACAAGAGGCTATGAATGAGTAGAGGCACTAGGTATACGGGAAACTTTGAATTTTTCACACAATTTTGCTGCAAACCTAAAACTGCTCTAAAAAATAAAGTTTATCTTAAAAAATTAAGCCAGCTTTTACATCTGTTCTGAACCCTTTGGTTTATTCTTCCTTTGACTGTGAAACTTTGGAGTAGGAATGGGGGAGGCTACTATCACAGTTTTTAAGATCGCTGTGGAATATTTTCCTTGGTGGAGCACTTATTTAACCTTTTTGCAACAATCTTTTGAGGTAAATATTTCTATCCACATTTCAGAGATGGGGAAACAGAGGCTTAAGGATGAAGATGACTCCACCTGGAAAACAGCAAAGTTGGCAGAGAAAACCAGGGCCACTTGACTCCAAAGCCCATTTTCTTAATCATGCCATTGTACAATCCTACACAGCAGTTGCCTGATACAAAGTTGGTAGCAGGCCTCCCATAAACAGAACTCCTTTTGAGCCTTGCATTAAAGAAAACAAGAGCACTCAAAATCACTGACATTGGTACTAGTAGTTTCTGCTTTAGGAAAAATAATTTCCCATTTGAATCATGATAGTATTTATTTGTTGCTGTTGTTGCTATTTAGTCACTAAGTTAAGTCACTTTAAGTTAAGTTACTGTTAAGTCACTCTTTGCTAACCCCTGGACTTTAGCCCGCCAGGCTCATTTGTCCATGGGACTTCCCAGGCCAGAATCCTGGAGTGGGTTGCCATTTCCTTCTCCTGGGGAGCTTCCCAACTAGGGGATCAAACCCATGTCTCCTGTTTGGCTTGGCAGGTGGGTTCTTTACCACAGAGCCACCTGGTAAGCCCCAGTATTTATTTAAATCATAATAATTATATCAGGTTTCTACCAGGGCTTTTTTCCTGTCTTTACAGATGAATAGCAGATTAGGTTTTCATTGCTCACCAGTAAGGCAACAGTTAAATCTTGAGGGTACACCCTGGTGGATATCTCCCTCAACCATCTAAAGAAAAAAAAAAAAGTCACAGTCAGTTACTCCCGTTAGATCTGTGTTCCCTGGGACATCTGTAGGCACACATACACGCTCTGTTTACTGTCATCCTTCCGCAGGCCACGGTCAGAGTCAGCAGTGAATCTTCCCCAAGTGCTGACATTTAATACCTGGTTTAGCGGCAACGATTGAGAGGGCTGAGCAGACCCCTGGCCTTCAGGTAGGTCCAATAACTTCATTTCTACGGGAGCTAAAACCTGGGAGCTTACGCTTGTCAACTTTTTGGGAAAGATGCCCTCTTCGACAGGATGTTAGTTCCAGTTGGATTGGGTGTCCAGATGGGGAAGGGATGATGTAGAATTTGGAGAGAAAGCGGCTTTCTGGTCTCAGGCTGCAAAAAGGATTTTATTCCTGTGGCATCCGAGTTGACATATTCATCTTAGTGCATAAATGCTTCTCTGGTACACGGGTCAGAAGGAAGACCCAATCCTGGCTCTACGTCAGCAAAAAAAGAAATCAAACAATGTGTGCCTCAAGCCTGATTAACTGTGCAAGATAGGGTTAATTCACACCCTGAAAAGACTGCAGTTACATGAGGTTACCTGCTATTTTGGAGCAATCAGGAAAACGTGTGCCACACTGATCAGTAAGATTTAATGCTTCTGAGTACAGTAGCTTTCTTTGGAAGGGAAAAAAAGTCAGTTCAGACACAGGAAACTACAAACCCAGACCTCACACCATGAGTCCTCTTTTGATTCTCAACTACGCCCCAGCTTCACAGAGAGTAAGTGAAAAGCTCCCTGCTGAGGGATGTTAGCATGGGGTTGGGAAACTTGTATAAATTTATTGGTCCCATATTTCTGTCTTTTAAAATGAATCTTTGATGTGTTGACTTTGAAAGTTCCTTCAATCGAAGAACAGTGTCTTCTTTTTCAAACCCTGCCTGTTTTTATCTGGCCTATTTAAAGAGAACCACTTCAGTAGATTATTTTAGTTATAGTATCACCTTTTAAAAACTCATTTAAAAACAGAGATGGGCCAAGAGTCACATTGAAACCGTGGAAAATATACCATAGTCTACTCCTGTGAAGACATATTTAAGTTAGTAAAGCAAAATTGCAAAATCTAAACTACATGGCAAAATAAAGTGAAAACACTTTCAATGTTCTTGTTCATTCTTTAAATACCTAAGTCATCCGGTCATGGTTTAAAATGTGTAACCTAAAAATTAAAAACACAAACAATTTGTGTTGCAAGAAGAGGTAATTCATCTTAATGGTAATCAACTTTACCATTATTTTTAGGGTCCTGTAATTATGGGGTGAGCCAAGAGCAGGACATCAAAGGGAAGACAGGTCAGAAATCTTTGGGGACCCGAAAAAGCTACACAAAGGGGTAGTATTCCTCATGTCTTGCCTAAGAAAATGTTTCTGTTTAATCTACAATAACCATGTTTTCCTTTATGAGAAGTCAAAATCCCTGTGAACTTTGTTTGTAATCAATTTTTCATTAGTAATCTTTTTTTTTCTCTGTATACACAGAGAACTCTACTTAAGGCACTGTGGTGACCTGACCAAGAAGGAAGTCCAGAAGGGAAGGGATGTGTGTGGCTGCTTCATTGTTGTACGGTAGAAACTAATACAATGTAAAAAGTAATTTAAGTGCAAAATCCCCATGAACTTTGAAGTGAAGCCAATAGGCGACAGTGAAGCTTTCTGTTTAAAAGCAAGCACTCTTGGTGTATGGTCACCCCTTGGGATCTGGGATCCATTACCTCTGCACAGCGGGCTTTCTAGCCCAGTCATTACTGGGCGAAGCCCAGTCTTCACAACTGTTTACAATAAGCAGGCACTGGCGCTGGTGCTTCCTCAACCCCAGAGTGGGCAACTCTGAAATCATCTGCACATCATGCTGAGTGTAATCACTGCTGGTTTTCATTTACTAAACTGAGCGCCAACAACATTTCCTTTTCGTTCCAATGGAGAGCATTTTCTCAGTTGCACAGATGCCTTCTCTCGTGTATACCTAGATAGGCCACAAGTAAATAAAACACTTGCCCAGGTTATTTCATAAGCAAGGCCAAGGTGCTGAACGTACAAACCACCATGTCTGAGGAAGAGAGAGGCTTGCTTCATAACCTTAGGCATAATCCTTCTCATTCACCCGTTCCTCATTTGCTTTAATAACCCACAAGATGATTATTAAAATATCACACTTTGAATCTCCCAAATTAAAAATAACTAGAAGAGAATAATTAGCAATTAATTAGATCTGATCTTCAAGGCCCCACCAAAACTGCATTAGACTGACCATAGATTCCGAATGGCCCAAGGAAACTTTGCAGGGGGAATAAAATAAATTATAGCATCAAATAATGTTTGCTGTGTGGTGTGCTATGCTCAGTCACTAAGTCCTGTCCAACTCTTTGCAACCCCATAGACTGTAGCACCCCCCAGCTCCTGGACCAGTACATGGAATTTTCCATGCAAGAATGCCAGAGCGGGTTGTCATTTCCTTCTCCAGGGGATCTTCCTGACCCAGGGATTGAACCTGCATATCCTGCATTGGCAGGCTAATGTTTATTCAATACTTATTATGTACCAGCATATATAATCACATATGTGCTATATGACTTATATGTGTCATCCCATTTACTCTCAAAAGTAACTCAATGAATAGGTACTGATACTATCTCTACTTCACAGATAAGAAAAGAGAGGGGGGAAAAAAGGAAAGAGAGGTAATAAACTTGGCCAAGAGAGTTAAATAGCAAATAAGTGTTTCAGCCCAAATTTGGACTCAGACAATCTAACTTTAGAGTCTGCATATTTAATCAGGAGTTAGTGAAAGGATAACAAGAAGAATGACATATTCCCTGTTACTTAAATTGAGCTCACTACCAACACCTCTGTCCTATGCATGCACAGTTGTGTCCAACTCTTTGTGCCCCCATGGACTACAGGCACACCAGGCTCCTCTACAGGACTGCCCAAGCAAGAATACTGGAGTGGGTTTCCACTTCCTCCTCCAGGGGATCAACCCAATCCAGGATCAAACCCACATCCCCGGCATTGCAGACAGATTCTTTACCAATGAGTCACCTGGGAAGCCCCTTCTGTTGCATCAGTTCAGTTCAGTCACTCAGTTGTGTCCAACTCTTTGTGACCCCATGGACTGTAGCACGCCAGGCTTCCCTGTCCATCAACAACTCCCGGAGATTACTCAAACTCATGTCCATCGAGTCAGTGATACCATCCAACCATCTCATCCTCTGGCATCCCCTTCTCCTCCTGCTTTCAATCTTTCCCAGCATCAGGGTCTTTTCTAATGAGTCAGTTCTTCACATCAGGTGGCCAAAGCACTGGAGCTTCATCTTCAGCTTCAGCATCATTCCTTCCAGTGAACATTCAGGACTGATTTTTTTTAGGACTGACTGTTGCATATGTTTATTCAATTCTCACCAATCTAAAAAATTATCAGTCTACACCCACTAACCAGATTCCTAGACCTTAAAACCCTTCTAATCAGCTAACTATGCATTAACAACCTTACTTTTTATAAGTTCAAATATAATCATCACAACTAAGACTTACAGTGTACAAAACCCTGTTCTAAGCGCTTTCCATGTATTAACTTACTAATCACAACTTACATCAACCTGTGAGGTAGGTAAAATTATCATTTCGTTTTACAGATGAGGAAACTAGACACAGGTTAAATTATTCGCCCAAGGTAACATAGGAAGTGACAGAGCCAGGATTTGAATCCAGGGAGTCAACTTTCAGAGTCCATCCTCTTAGCCACTGTTTTTGAAACATTAACAGTTTATTCTTAGAAGTCAAGGAATCTGTGCTTTTTTTGTTTCCTTTAATTTAGGAATTTAGTCTGCAAGCAGGGAGTGTATTTCACATAAAGGCTCCTGATATCTCTTCAAGGTAGGTAATAATTTTTTTTAATTAATCAAGCTTACTTCACCTGATAAATATCTCTTTTAAAAAATCATACAAGTATTACATTCTGTATAATTCTGGTACCTCTTTTCTTAACGCTTGCTTACAACAGAATTACTAAAGAATTACTTCCAGCTTCTGGAACTGGAAAAGGATCTGAAATAACGGCCACTAACTCTTATTTTCTTATCCAAAAAGAGGGAGGAAGGGAGGGAGGGGAAGAGACAGGGGAGAGAAGAGGTGTTGGAAAACTCTGCTTCTCTAAAAGAACTCTAAAACCGACAAGAGCAGCTGAGAAAACAGCCTTTGGCGAGGTATTCGCTAAAGTCAAATTACCAAATGTCTATGGCTACACACGGGAATGGTAAAAATCACTATCAGGTAAATTCTCCCCAGCACGCTAGGTATTCAGAGACTAATCTTCTGGTTCTGCAAAACAGTCACATTTTGTACTCTCGGTGCCCCCTTCAAACTCCCGCCCCAGCAACCTAAGGATGCCCAAGTGTGCCACTTTGAGTCCGAGCTCCAAAGCGTCCCGGCAGGAGTCTCTTCAGGCGGCGGTTTCCAGGCAACCCCACTCTGGCCAGAAGCAGTTGTGCTTCCTACCCGGTCATCTGTTAATGAGTCCCCCGGAGAGGCTCCAAAAACACCCGGGCGGGGGTAGCCTGACGCCCCTCCTGGTACGCAACTTTCCCATAACCCGGATGTCAGGTTGCATCAGCCATTCTCACCTCCCATTCCCTAGTTTTCCGTCTTGGCTCCCAGCTAGTCACTTCGCATTTTTGGCGTCTTTACTCAGCGAGACTTGTCTCCTCGATCAGTAAACTACTGGAGCCACACGGCCCATAGAGAACGGATTCCTGGGAAATGTAGTTCTTTCTGCTGACAAGTGGTGAATCTTTAAGGAAAAAGGACTACACTTCCCAGAAATCTAAGGGACGGTAGTCCATGTCTAAAACAGCTCCCAGCTGCTAGGATTGCCTGAAGCAGAAAGGTTCCGTGTCTCTTTGCTTGTGAGGCCTTAATTTTTGCTATTCCACTGCAAACTTGTGGGACAACTCTTTATTTTTAACATGCTTTTTGCATGTGAGGGAATTTACACATAGTGATTTTATATGAAGAGACGTAATAAGTAAAAAAAATTTCTTTTGTAATTCTTTCAGATAAAAGATCTATCCACCATCAGAAAATATGTCACTACAGATGGTAACAGTCGGTAATAGCATAGCCTTAATTCAACCAGGCTTCTCATTAATGAATTTTGATGGGCAAGTTTTCTTCTTTGGCCAAAAAGGCTGGCCCAAGAGGTCTTGCCCCACTGGAGTTTTCCATTTTGAGGTAAAGCATAGCCATCTCAAACTGAAGCCTGCAGTTTTCTCTAAGGATTCTTGCTACCTTCCTCCTCTTCGATACCCAGCCACTTGCACATTCAGCGGCAACTTGGAGTCTGAAAAGCATCAGTACATCATCCATGGAGGAAAAACACCAAACAATGAGCTTTCAGATAAGCTTTATGTGATGTCTGTTGTCTGCAAGAACAACAAAAAAGTTACTTTTCGCTGCACAGAGAAGGACTTGGTAGGAGACGTTCCTGAAGGCAGATATGGTCATTCCATTGATGTGGTGTATAGTCGAGGGAAAAGTATGGGTGTTCTCTTTGGAGGACGGTCATACATACCTTCTGCCCAAAGAACCACAGAGAAATGGAACAGCGTGGCTGACTGCCTGCCCCATGTCTTCTTGGTGGATTTTGAATTTGGATGCTCCACGTCATACATTCTTCCAGAACTTCAAGATGGGCTATCTTTTCATGTCTCCATTGCCAGAAATGATACCGTTTATATTTTAGGAGGCCATTCACTTGCCAATAACATCCGCCCTGCCAATCTGTACAGAATAAGGGTTGATCTCCCCCTGGGTAGCCCAGCTGTGGAGTGCACAGTCTTGCCAGGAGGAATCTCTGTCTCCAGTGCAATCCTGACTCAAATAAACAATGATGAATTCGTTATTGTTGGTGGCTATCAGCTTGAAAATCAAAAAAGAATGGTCTGCAACATCATCTCTTTCAAGGATAACAAGATAGACATTCATGAGATGGAAACCCCAGATTGGACCCCAGATATTAAGCATAGCAAAATATGGTTTGGAAGCAACATGGGAAATGGAACTGTTTTCCTCGGCATACCAGGAGACAATAAACAGGCTGTTTCAGAAGCATTTTACTTCTATACATTGAAATGTGCTGAAGATGATGTGAACGAAGATCAGAAAACTTTCACAAGTAGTCAGACATCAACAGAAGACCCAGGGGACTCCACTCCCTTTGAAGACTCAGAAGAATTTTGCTTCAGTGCAGAAGCAAACAGTTTCGATGGTGATGATGAATTTGACACCTACAATGAAGATGATGAGGAAGATGAGTCTGAGACAGGCTACTGGATTACATGCTGTTCTACTTGTGATGTGGATATCAACACTTGGGTACCATTTTATTCAACTGAGCTCAACAAGCCTGCCATGATCTATTGCTCTCATGGAGATGGACATTGGGTCCATGCCCAGTGTATGGATCTGGCAGAACGCACACTCATCCAACTGTCAGAAGGAAGCAATAAATATTACTGCAACGAGCATGTGGAGATAGCAAGAGCACTGCAAACTCCCAAAAGAGTTCAATCATTAAAAAAGCCTCCACTGAGATCCCTCCACAAAAAGGGTTCTGGGAAAATTATTACTCCTGCCAAGAAATCTTTTCTTAGAAGGTTATTTGATTAGTTCCATGAAAGCTTTTCAGATTCAGGTGCATCAAAATTTTAAACTTATTTTAAAGAATTGTAACAATGATAAAATTTATCTTCCCATTTTTGTTTATTGAAAACATCTAATGTTTCATTTAGTTATATGAGTAAAGTACTAGGGGAAAGTGCTTATAATGCCATACTGAATACAGTCATTGTATTTAGACCTATACAGGACCTATAACCTGTATTTTGAAAATATTTTATTCAAAGTTATATTCAATGGGAATTTATGATCTGAATTTTTATTCAAGGAATCTTAAACACAGAAATAGTAATAATAATCAAGGTATGCTTACATCCTTTACAGGGCTTTTGGTAACAAATAATCCACCAAACAGTTAATACAAATTTAGCCAGTAAAGTAACTAACACCCAAAGGAGTTAAATGAATTATTTTGTAAACTGTAACAATTTGGTGGTTGACCAGAAATTACAACTGAGATCACCTGTATCCCACATGAATGTTCTTTGTACACCTCAAAGATGGTCACCTGGCTATGCCCATATACAGAAAAATCTTTAAGGAGATAGGTAGAGATAGTTAGATTGTTGTGTTTAGTCGCTCAGTCGTGCCCAGCTCTTTGGACCCCATGGACTGTAGCCCACTAGACTTGTCTGTCCATGGGAACACTTCAGGCAAGAATACTGCAGTGGGTAGCCATGCCCTCCTCCAGGGGATCTTCCCAACCCAGAAATCGAACCCAGGTCTCCCGTGTTGCAGGTGGATTCTTTACTGTCTAAGACACCAGGGAAGCTAGATAGAAAAAAAAATTGAGAATCTCCATTGACATGAAGAAAGACAAAAAGAATCTACATCGTTTGTTACATTTTATCAAGCTATCCACATGCACTTTCTTCATAGACTCACCCGTTCATATGGTTAACAGATGATAAAGTAAAGCTAATCAGTTGAACTGGTTCTTCAAGAGATTTAATGAAAACTTCAGTCCACTGATACTTAGCTCTTTGAAACAGGGAGAAGAGTCAGAGTACAATAAGAAAGAATCTCTAAATAGATCTCATGAGAGGTTTTTTTTCACAAGTAATATTTATTACTTACCCAAATAACAAAAGTTTAGAGAATTTGACAAAGTTAACAGGTAGATAATTTTTAAGAGGGAAAAAGAAATAAATGTGTGTTTATCAGTCTAGTTGGTACGTGGAGTTTGCTGGCAGTGAAAGTTGTAAAATCAGTGAGCTTGCTCAGGTTCAGTTAGATAGTTGCTATAATTAAAATTAAAAGAACTGTTAATGTTGAGGCTTCACATCAACTGATAATTAGGTGACCTTATATACAAATGTCTTCCCTCCTGGAGTATTTTTCTGGAAATGTATTCCATTTTAGCCTAAGAGCTTAAACCATAGCCTCTCATTCATTTGTTTTCACGGAGTCAACAATGTGTAAGGTATTATTGCCAAATTTAGGGGAAATATGAACCATACAGGAGATGAAATCCTGCAACAAAGTTTTGCTAATAGTTCATGCCTCAGATACTGAAATAAATCTGAAAAAATTAAATCATGTTCACTTTGTTTCACTAATGTTGCTTGATGAATATTCCTTTTGCATAATTTGCTGTACCATTGTTTTGCTTTTTGCTGTTTCTATTACCTATATAAAACTAATAAAATATGAAAATGTCTTTTGTTTATATTGATTTCTTCCAATTATTAACATTTGTAGTTACCCAGTTATTGGCAAAATTATACTGTTTAATTTTCTCAGGATCACTCTACTTTTATTTATTTTTTATCTGTCAGTAGAAAGTGACTTGAGTGGGAGCTGAAATAGCCTCCACAATGTTCAAAATGTTATTCCCTCAGTTGTAGTTATTCCCACAATCTTCTCTTATCTTTATTTGTCTACAGTGACCAAGCGGCTAAAAAGTAATTACACATATTTGTTTCATAGTGGAAGCAGATTACATATGGTAATCTGAGAGATTCAATTATAGTTGCTTTTGGGGTGTGTTTAAGTCGAGGGTAAGTACTTTGGATTTACTTACTGTAAGTTTGAGTAAAAATAGGTCTTTTTAAGTCATCTCACTAAAGAGTCTACCAGATGTGATTTGAAGACAATAAGGTTTCTTTTCTACTAAGCATATGCAAACTTTCAAATGAACCACATTAGAAGAGTACTCACTTATCCCAAGGATATGATGCTTTTGCCTAACACAGTTCTAGGACTCACTTTCCAATCACTTTCAGAGTCTATGTTTCATTCTTTTGAAGATAGTCAACAGTTAGAGATGAATTTGGTTTTTGGAAACAGGCAAATGTTATCCAAAGCCAAGCAGAGTGTCATTTTTCAGCATTATTGTCACTTTAGGCCAAACGTGAAGCCTGAGCTAACAAAATGGGTTTTCTGATATGCCTCACAAATAGATTTTAAAGGTAAGTCCCAAATGGTTTACACAGAATAATGTCAACAAATGAGTATATGGCTTTCCACGGTGACTATTTTGAGGGACTCTACTCTTCTCCAAGCACAAAGATGGTCCATTGGTTAAGAACTCACCTTGCAATGCAGGGGACGTGGATTCAGTTCCCTGGTCAGGGGACTAAGATCCCATATGCCGTGGGGCAACTAAGCCCTTGGAGCCCAAACCCCACTAGAAAAGATCTTGCATGACTCAACAAAGATCCCACGTGCTGCAACTAAGACCCCCATTCAGATATCTACATATGGACCTATAGAGCTATACAGAGAGATAGACACACATAAGTGTATATATATAAACAAGAGCAAAATACACAAACAAGTTCAATGTGTCAAGAAAGCGGAAAGCATAGTGGAAAAGGAGTAGTCAGTCTAAAGGGTAGGAGGCTTGTCATGTTTGTGGAATTGGAACAGCATCGGTCTGGTGAACGCAGTAAACAAGAGGAGCATGGAATGCCATGGGCGTGGAGAGGTGGCCAGGGCAGGGACCCCGAGATTTTCATCAGCACAAGAACATCACATAAAACTTCATTCATATCATGTGACCTGTTCCTTCCTGCTTGCCTCTCTGTGTTACTACTCTCTGTGTGGGGACACCTCACCTAATGAGCTTATGCTTTCACACTTTATACACAATCTCCCAAAATGCTGAACTGATAACATTTGTGGTGAGCCCCCCTAGTTACTTCACAGGTACTCAGGGCTTTGGGGGAACCCATTCCTTCCTCAGGGTACACTTTCCCTCTTGCACTTGATAACTCCTGCCAATACCCAAATCCATCTGGCTCGTTCCTCTCCACTCTTTACATCCCAGTTCAGATATCTGCTCCTCCTCCCAGAAAACTCCTCTGGACCCCCTCACCCCAAGTCTCTGCTTATAGACTCAAAATTCCAAGAAATAAAACTGTATTTTTCTGAAAATCAACTCACATTATACTATGCATCCCTTTCACTGTGCGTTGGAAATTTAGTTTAATAAATTTAGAGTTCTCTGTCTTCACCCAGCTTTTTCTCCAAGTTCTAGGAAGAAATATAATGCTGAGGTGTCAGGAGTGGGAATGAGTGAGGGTGAAACATTTGCTATTTAGGGTCATTATCCCTCCTCACCAGCTGCTTCTACAATATTCACATTCCTACCTAGCCTGAGGTTAGTTGGGAAGATGACTCATGGGTGGCACCTTAGCTTTAACCACAGGCCTTAGGACATCTACAGTTCCACTTTCTCTCTCTGCCATTGTCAGGTTCATCTGGGCTCGTATGATAAAGAGGAGCTCTTTCTGTCCCTTCCTGTCCCAGCATGGCGACAGTTGTCTTAGCGAGACCATCGAGGATGTGTCTATGCTCTGTACCACTCCCGGGTACCTCTTCCTCACCCTGCACCTCTACTGGGTCACAAAACCTCTCCCCAACTGTCTTGGGGAACACCACTTCACCACCATTTCACCTCTGAAGTCATTCGCTTCCGGTTCTATCAGGAAAGTGAGTTGCCTCTTCTCTCTGTTTTTGACTTCCCCAAACTTATCTGGAGTTTGTGTTGTTCTCCCAAGTCCACAGTTCAATCCGAGATATAGGATACTTTGTCATCTCTATATATCTAGTATTTAGCATAACGCCTTGCATACTGTAGGCACTTACATTTTCATTGAAATGAATTGAATTAAATTCTTCCATGAGTTGCCTCTGCATTCCAGTATGGGCATCCAAAATGACTTACTCATTGTCTAGCTTAATACTGATATAAATATTGAAAGTAAAATAGAATCAGTCACACTAACTGAATAAGCAAGAGATGTAAGAATAAATGGAACCAACAAACCTGTGAATGCTTACACTGATGAGAAGAAAATGAGTGTTAAGTGACACTGGCTGTGGTAACAAAAACTCCAAAACACCATTAAATTGTCACAAAGTCTCTCCCCCACTCAAGCAGAGTTCAATGCAGGTTTCCCTTATTAAGTTGGCTTCCCTGATAGCTCAGTTGGTAAAGAGTCCACCTGCAATGCAGGAGACCCGGGCTCGATTCCAGGGTTGGGAAGATCCACTGGAGGAGAAGGGATAGGCTACCCACTCCAGTATTCTGGCCTGGAGAATTCTATGGACTATACAGTCTATGGGGTCTCAAAGAGTCGAACACAACTGAGTGAACTTCACTTCACTTTCACTTTCACTTATTAAGCTATTCACCAGAGTAGGTTTCCTCCAAGATGGGTCTCAGATAATCAGGCTGTTTCAATTTGGCAATTCTGCCATCTTTATCTTGTATCCTCAAGACTTCAGATACAAGTAAAACAAAGAACACGGAGAAGGCACACTCTCCTGTAAATGTTTCGGCCTGCAAATGAGACATCATTTCCTCCAACATTCCCCTGTTTAAAAAAAAAAAAAAAACTCAAGTAGTACGGCCCCACCTAGATGCAAAGGGCCTGGGAAATACAGTTTAACTGTCTGCCCGGAAAAGGGAAATGGATGCGGTAAGCATGAAGCCAGTATCTGCCATACATGCTCAGTTGCTTCAGTCTTTGCAATACTATGGA